ACACACACCATGTGAAACAATTAAGAGACGAAGGACACAAAACATGGACGAGACAAAGGACATGACAGAGACTGGAACTGCTTTGCCCTGCACACAGGAATCCAATGATAAAAAGTAAGCCCTTCCTTTGAGGCGTCCAAATAACCTGTCACAGGATACCCCGTGCACCGGACTAATTGCAAAAATCCCTCCAGGCCAGGCACACACTTGCAACCCCTCCCAACCCCCCTCTGGGTCTTTGCCCTGCACTTATCTTGCCAAAAGCAAGGGATGCCAATCCATCTTTGATGCACAGGAGGAGCACCAAGGCTTGTTCAGAGGTTCCTGCCATCGTCAGACAACTAGGAGTCAGCTGTGAGAAAGAAAACCATAATCAATACGTCAGTTGTGTAGCATGGGGCTCAAACCCCAGTGATCCCCCTACTCAGCAGCACCCAGGCCCTACAAATGAAATGGGCAAATGCTCAAACACTCAGCTCTCAAACATTCAGGGATTGCTCACAACAAAAGCCAAAAACCTCTAAACCCTAGACACTGGTTCCTACTCTACCCAGCCAGGACTCCATACACCCCAGCAGGGCAGCGCAAGACCATCCTGCTCACAGACTGGACAGCCATCGGCTCCACTGTCTAAGGGAACTGACATGCTGACCTGAGACTCGGAGCCACATTCCATCTACCCACTGATCCACGGAGCAGGGCAGAGCAGGTCCAGGCTGACCCCAAGTGACACACCCCACACCTGTGACCACACACACCACGTGACACAGAACACGGAGCAGACAAAGGACATGACACAGACTGGAACTGCTCTGCCCTGCACACGGGAATCCCATGATAAAAAAAAAGCCCTTCCTTTGATGTGTCCAAATAACCTGTCCCAGGATACCCACTGCACCAGACTAATTGCAAAAATCCCTCCAGGTGAGGCACACACTTGCACCCACTCCCAACCCCTCTCTGGGTCTTTGCCCTGCACTTATCTTGCCGAGAGCAGGGAATGCCAATCCATCTTGGATGCACAGGAGGGGCACCTGGGCTGCCTCAGAGGTTCCTGCCATCGTCACACTACTCGGAGTCAGCTGTGAGAAAGAAAACCAGACACCAGATCTGAGTAGTGTGGCACGAGGCCCCAGCCCCCACGATCCCTCTACTCACTGTCACCCAGGCAGGTCCTTGGGTCGCTGACTCTGACCAGACTTGGACAACGTGCTGTCATCTTCTGGGATACCTGAGAGAGAGAGACAAAATTAGAGGGCATCTCTAAAGCTGCAGTGGATCCCCGCTCCTCCTGCTGCCTCCCCAACTCACCTACAAGGCTCCTCTCTCTACAGCTGCTCCCAACACCCCCCCTGCAAATGAAATGGGCAAACGCTCAAACACTCAGCTCTCAAACATTCAGGGATTGCTCACAACAAAAGCCAAAAACCTCCAAACCCTACACACTCTCTGCTACTCTACCTAACCGGGACTCTAGACACCCAAGCAGGGCATGGCAAGACCATCCTGCTCACAGACTGGACAGCCATCAGCTCCACTGTCTAAGGGAACTGACATGTTGATGTCAGACTCGGAGCAATATTCTATCTACCCACTGATCCACGGAGCAGGGCAGAGCAGGTCCAGGCTGACCCCAAGTGACACACCCCACACCCGTGACCACACACACCACGTGACACCAAACACGCACGAGACAAAGGACGTGACACACACCAGAACTGCTCTGCCCTGCACACGGTAATCCAATGATAAAAAGTAAGCCCTTCCTTTGATGTCTCCAAATAACCTGTTCCAGGATACCCCCTGCACCGGACTCATTGCAAAAATCCCTCCAGGTGAGGCACACACTAGCACCCACTCCCAACCCCTCTCTGGGCCTTTGCCCTGAACTTATCTTGCCGAGAGCCAGGGATGCCAATCCATCTTTGATGCACAGGAGGAGCACCAGGGCTGCCTCAGAGGTTCCTGCCATCATCAGAGTACTCAGAGTCAACTGCAAGAAAGAAAACCACAAGCAATACCTGAGTTGTGTGGCATGGGGCTCAAACCCCAGTGATCCCTCTACTCACCAGCACCCAGGCCCTGACCGCAATCGGACACTGTGGATGTCACGTTCCGGGATACCTGGGGGAGTGAGACACAAAATTAGAAGGCATCTCTAAAGCTGCAGGGGATCCCCGCTCCTCCTGCTGCCTCCCCAACTCACCTCCAAGGCACCTCTCTCTTCAGCTGCTTCCAACACCGCCCCTGCAAATGAAATGGGCAAATGCTCAAACACTCAGCTCTCAAACATTCAGGGATTGCTCACAACGAAAGCCAAAAACCTCTAAACCCTAGACACTGGTTCCTACTCTACCCAGCCAGGACTCCATACACCCCAGCAGGGCAGCGCAAGACCATCCTGCTCACAGACTGGACAGCCATCGGCTCCACTGTCTAAGGGAACTGACATGCTGACCTGAGACTCGGAGCCACATTCATCTACCCACTGATCCACGGAGCAGGGCAGAGCAGGTCCAGGCTGACCCCAAGTGACACACCCCACACCTGTGACCACACACACCACGTGACACAGAACACGGAGCAGACAAAGGACATGACACAGACTGGAACTGCTCTGCCCTGCACACGGGAATCCCATGATAAAAAAAAAGCCCTTCCTTTGATGTGTCCAAATAACCTGTCCCAGGATACCCCCTGCACCGGACTAATTGCAAAAATCCCTCCAGGCGAGGCACAGACTTGCACCCACTCCCAACCCCTCTCTGGGTCTTTGCCCTGCACTTATCTTGCCGAGAGCAGGGGATGCCAATCCATCTTGGATGCACAGGAGGGCACCAGGGCTGCCTCAGAGGTTCCTGCCATCGTCACACTACTCGGAGTCAGCTGTGAGAAAGAAAACCAGACACCAGATCTGAGGAGTGTGGCACGAGGCCCCAGCCCCCACGATCACTCTACTCACTGTCACCCAGGCAGGTCCTTGGGTCGCTGACTCTGACCAGACTTGGACAACGTGCTGTCATCTTCTGGGATACCTGAGAGAGAGAGAGAGAGAGAGACAAAATTAGAGGGCATCTCTAAAGCTGCAGGGGATCCCCGCTCCTCCTGCTGCCTCCCCAACTCACCTACAAGGCTCCTCTCTCTTCAGCTGCTCCCAACACCGCCCCTGCAAATGAAATGGGCAAATGCTCAAACACTCAGCTCTCAAACATTCAGGGATTGCTCACAACAAAAGCCAAAAACCTCCAAACCCTACACACTCTCAGCTACTCTACCTAGCCGGGACTCTAGACACCCAAGCAGGGCAGCGCAAGACTATCCTGCTCACAGACTGGACAGCCATCGGCTCCACTGTCTAAGGGAACTGACATGGTAATGGGAGACTCTGAGCAATATTCTATCTACCCACTGATCCACGGAGCAGGGCAGAGCAGTTCCAGGCTGACCCCAAGTGACACACCCCACACCTGTGACCACACACACCACGTGACACCAAACACGCACGAGACAAAGGATGTGACACACACCAGAACTGCTCTGCCCTGCACACGGGAATCCAATGATAAAAAGTAAGCCCTTCCTTTGATGTCTCCAAATAAACTGTTCCAGGATACCCCCTGCACCGGACTCATTGCAAAAATCCCTCCAGGTGAGGCACACACTTGCACCCACTCCCAACCCCTCTCTGGGCCTTTGCCCTGAACTTATCTTGCCGAGAGCAGGGGATGCCAATCCAGCTTTGATGCACAGGAGGAGCACCAGGGCTGCCTCAGAGGTTCCTGCCATCATCAGACTACTCAGAGTCAACTGCAAGAAAGAAAACCACAAGCAATACCTGAGTTGTGTGGCATGGGGCTCAAACCCCAGTGATCCCCCTACTCACCAGCAACCAGGCCCTGACCGGAGTCGGACACTGTGGATGTCACGTTCCAGGATACCTGGGTGAGTGAGACACAAACTTAGAAGGCATCTCTAAAGTTGCAGGGGATCCCCGCTCCTCCTGCTGCCTCCCCAACTCACCTACAAGGCTCCTCTCTCTTCAGCTGCTCCCAAGACCGCCCCTGCAAATGAAATGGGCAAAAGCTCAAACACTCAGCTCTCAAACATTTAGGGATTGCTCACAAGGAAAGCCAAAAACCTCTAAACCCTAGACACTGCTTCCTACTCCACCTAGCCAGGACTCTATACACCCAAGCAGGGCATCACAAGACCATCCTGCTCACAGACTGGACAGCCATCGGCTCCACTGTCTAAGGGAACTGACATGTTGACGTCAGACTCCGAGCCATATTCCAGCCACACACTGAGCCACGGAGCAGGGCAGAGCAGTTCCAGGTTGACCCCAAGTGAGACACCCCACACCTGTGACCACACACACCATGTGACACAAAACACGGAGCAGGGGACAAAGGACATGACACAGACTGGACTCTCTGCCCTCACCGGGACCCCCCCCCACTCCCATGATAAAAAAAGTAAGCCCTTCCTTTGATGCGTCCAAATAACCTGTCACAGGATACCCCCTGCACCAGAATAATTGCAAAAATCCCTCCAGGCGAGGCACAGACTTGCACCCACTCCCAACCCCTCGCTGGGTCTTTGCCCTGCACTTATCTTGCCGAGAGCAGGGGATGCCAATCCATCTTGGATGCACAGGAGGGGCACCAGGGCTGCCTCAGAGGTTCCTGCCATCATCACACTACTCGGAGTCAGCTGTGAGAAAGAAAACCAGACACCAGATCTGAGGAGTGTGGCACGAGGCCCCAGCCCCCACGATCCCTCTACTCACTGTCACCCAGGCAGGTCCTTGGGTCACTGACTCTGACCAGACTTGGACAACGTGCTGTCATCTTCTGGGATACCTGAGAGAGAGAGAGAGAGAGAGAGAGAGACAAAATTAGAGGGCATCTCTAAAGCTGCAGTGGATCCCCGCTCCTCCTGCTGCCTCCCCAACTCACCTACAAGGCTCCTCTCTCTTCAGCTGCTCCCAAGACCGCCCCTGCAAATGAAATGGGCAAATGCTCAAACACTCAGCTCTCAAACATTCAGGGATTGCTCACAACAAAAGCCAAAAACCTCCAAACCCTACACACTCTCTGCTACTCTACCTAGCCGGGACTCTAGACACCCAAGCAGGGCAGCGCAAGACCATCCTGCTCACAGACTGGACAGCCATCGGCTCCACTGTCTAAGGGAACTGACGTTGATGTCAGACTCTGAGCAATATTCTATCTACCCACTGATCCACGGAGCAGGGCAGAGCAGTTCCAGGCTGACCCCAAGTGACACACCCCACACCTGTGACCACACACACCACGTGACACCAAACGTGCACGAGACAAAGGATGTGACACACACCAGAACTGCTCTGCCCTCCACACGGGAATCCAATGATAAAAAGTAAGCCCTTCCTTTGATGCGTCCAAATAACCTGTTCCAGGATACCCCCTGCACCAGACTAATTGCAAAAATCCCTCCAGGTGAGGCACACACTTGCACCCACTCCCAACCCCTCTCTGGGCCTTTGCCCTGAACTTATCTTGCCGAGAGCAGGGGATGCCAATCCACCTTTGATGCACAGGAGGAGCACCAGGGCTGCCTCAGAGGTTCCTGCCATCATCAGACTACTCAGAGTCAACTGCAAGAAAGAAAACCACAAGCAATACCTGAGTTGTGTGGCATGGGGCTCAAACCCCAGTGATCCCTCTACTCACCAGCACCCAGGCCCTGACCGGAGTCGGACACTGTGGATGTCACGTTCCAGGATACCTGAGTGAGTGAGACACAAACTTAGAAGGCATCTCTAAAGTTGCAGGGGATCCCCGCTCCTCCTGCTGCCTCCCCACCTCACCTACAAGGCTCCTCTCTCTTCAGCTGCTCCCAACACCCCCCCTGCAAAAGAAATGGGCAAATGCTCAAACACTCAGCTCTCAAACATTCAGGGATTGCTCACAAGGAAAGCTAAAAACCTCTAAACCCTAGACACTGGTTCCTACTCTACCCAGCCAGGACTCCATACACCCCAGCAGGGCAGCGCAAGACCATCCTGCTCACAGACTGGACAGCCATCGGCTCCACTGTCTAAGGGAACTGACATGCTGACCTGAGACTCGGAGCCACATTCCATCTACCCACTGATCCACGGAGCAGGGCAGAGCAGGTCCAGGCTGACCCCAAGTGACACAACCCACACCTGTGACCACACACACCATGTGAAACAATTAAGAGACGAAGGACACAACACATGGACGAGACAAAGGACATGACAGAGACTGGAACTGCTTTGCCCTGCACACGTGAATCCAATGATAAAAAGTAAGCCCTTCCTTTGATGCGTCCAAATAACCTGTCACAGGATACCCCGTGCACCGGACTAATTGCAAAAATCCCTCCAGGCCAGGCCCACACTTGCAACCCCTCCCAACCCCTCTCTGGGTCTTTGCCCTGCACTTATCTTGCCAAAAGCAAGGGATGCCAATCCATCTTTGATGCACAGGAGGAGCACCAAGGCTTGTTCAGAGGTTCCTGCCATCGTCAGACAACTAGGAGTCAGCTGTGAGAAAGAAAACCATAATCAATACGTCAGTTGTGCAGCATGGGGCTCAAACCCCAGTGATCCCCCTACTCAGCAGCACCCAGGCCCTACAAATGACATGGGCAAATGCTCAAACACTCAGCTCTCAAACATTCAGGGATTGCTCACAACGAAAGCCAAAAACCTCTAAACCCTAGACACTGGTTCCTACTCTACCCAGCCAGGACTCCATACACCCCAGCAGGGCAGCGCAAGACCATCCTGCTCACAGACTGGACAGCCATCGGCTCCACTGTCTAAGGGAACTGACATGCTGACCTGAGACTCGGAGCCACATTCCATCTACCCACTGATCCACGGAGCAGGGCAGAGCAGGTCCAGGCTGACCCCAAGTGACACACCCCACACCTGTGACCACACACACCACGTGACACAATTAAGAGACGAAGGACACAAAACACGGACAAGACAAAGGACATGACACAGACTGGAACTGCTCTGCCCTGCACACGGGAATCCAGCGATACAAAGTAAGCCCTTCCATTGATGTGTCCAAATAATCTGTTATAGGATACCCACTGCACTGGACTCATTTCAAAAATCCCTCCAGGTGAGGCACACACTTGCTCCGACTCCCAACCCCTCTCTGGGTCTTTGCCCCGCACTTATCTTTCCGAGAGCAGGGGATGCCAATCCATCTTGGATGCACAGGAGGGGCACCTGGGCTGGCTCAGAGGTTCCTGCCACTGTCAGACTACTAGCAGTCAACTGTGAGAAAGAAAACCAGACACCAGATCTGAGTAGTGTGGCACGAGGCCCCAGCCCCCACGATCCCTCTACTCACTGTCACCCAGGCAGGTCCTCGGGTCACTGACTCTGACCAGACTTGGACACTGTGCTGTCATCTCCTGGGATACCTGAGAGAGAGAGAGAGACAAAATTAGAGACCATCTCTAAAGCTGCAGTGGATCCCCGCTCCTCCTGCTGCCTCCCCGACTCACCTCCAATGCTCCTCTGCTCCCAAAGGTTACCTGGATGGCACCTGCAATCCAAAAAGCTCAGTGCTTCGTTGCTGATCCTTTCAATACTCGGAGATCACCTACAAGGGCAGCTCCAGAGGACCAAACTGTGTCCGTCACCTCACTGTGAGTTGGCTTCGGCCCTGTGAGGCTGTGTACATCTCCTGCAAAAAATCCCAGAGGCAACTGTGAGTACTGAGATACTGCCCAAGAGTTTGCTGCTCCCGTGGCAGCTTCTGTCTGACACCCCTTGACCGTGACCTCTTACAGGCAGGGTCCCTGTCACGTTGGACTGCGCGTTAGAAGTCTGTGCACTGCCTGGTAAACAAAAAACCAAGTATGTACACAGATTCACCACAAGTACACCACCTGCAAAAGAGAAGCTAGTTTTCTCCTGCAGTCACTGTTCACCTTCCTCACCGGGCTCACCTACCCTCTGGTGCCTGTCGTCTGTTGGGCCGAGGGCTCTGCATCTTAAAAAAAACCAAAAAACCGAAACTAAACCACCAAACCATCCAAATGATCAAGTAAACCTAGGCCCAAAAGTCATGTCTTGGCTCTGACCTCACATGAGGACCCACCTTCTGACTGTGCTCCTCCAGCCTCCTCTGTTCATCTCTGCTTTACATCCAGTCCATCTGATGCTGCAAAGAAATGAGTCATCAAAGTCAGCCACATAGACAGGGGGACCTTAACTGCTGTGCAATTCTAATTTCTCCTTAGACAAGCCCTCTGGGGTCCAAAGACAACCTGCACAAACAAACACTGACCTCACTTTAAGGCCCTGCCCTCAGTGCCTGAGCCTATCACAGGGGAACTGGGAGGTCTCCTTTCTACTCCACCTACCCCCAAGTCTACACTGCAGGGCAGAGCAGTTCCAGGCCCAACACAAACTCCAAGGACACATTTCCAGACAAGGGCTGTGGTGCAACCAGGAGAGAGAGCTCTGAGAAAGGAACGACGCCCAAACGGATGTGCTGCCGCACGAGAAGACGGAGGATACGGCGAGACTGAACGGAGGAGGCTCTGAGGAGCCTGAAAAGACACTCTGACAGAATGGCCTGGGACAAGAACTGCCCACAAAATTGCTGAGATGGATGGGAGACAAGGCTATGCTCAGAATCTTCTTAGATTCTCACAAGTCCCAGGTGGGATGACAAGGGATGACTGCACGGCACAGCCACCGATACAACCTGTGAGGAGGCTGTAAAAGACACCTGACCTGACACTTCTCAGATGCGATTCCGATGCACGTCCAAGCTAGTGAGCCAAAGAACGGATGGTATGGGCACTGAGCTGGGCAGTGCAGAGGTTCAAGACTCTAGGAATGATGCCTTGGCATCTCAGATAAGACCTTGGAGTGTAGGAAGCAAAGACACCCTGACTGTGAAGTGTAAGACACGAAACACAGACCGGACAAAGGACACGACACAGACCTGAACTGCTCTGCCCTGCACATCCTACTCCATGATGAAAAGTAAACTGCTCCTCCTATGTGTGCCAAGGGCCTGTTAGGGCAGACCCTTTCCCCTCTGCTCATTTGACAATCCCTCCCTCCTAACCATAAAACTGGACCCAGCTCCCATCCCCTCTCCAGGTGGGAGCCCTCCACTTATCTTTCCCACAGCTGGGGATGTGAATCCATCTTCGATGTGAAGGAAGGACGCCCGGCTGGCTCAGAGGGTCCTGTGATCCCTGACTCGGTCGCTGGGAGAAAGAAAACAGAAACTGAGACAAGAGTTGGGCAGCACGTGGGAGATAACCCTGCAATTGGCTACTCACCCTCCCCTGAGCTGAGAGGTTCTCGGGCCACTGGCTCCGACCCCAGTCGGAGGCTGCTGCCATCACCGTGTGCCGTACCTGGGGGAGTGAGAAAAAAAGTTATGGGGTGTTTCTGAAAGTAAGGGAGACCCCAGCACCTCCTCCCTACCTCCCTGACTCAACCTCAGTGCTCCTCCTTGGCCAAAGGAGGCCAGAGGGCACCTGCAGCTGGAAAAGGTGGAGCCTTAATTGATGACCCTGGTAGTACTAGGAGATTACTCACAAGGACAGCTGAAGACCATCACACCTAACTGGCAGGTGGCTCCAGCCCTCTGAGGCTGCACACATTCTCTGCAAAGTAAAAAAGCCAAAGGCAAAGGTACAGACTGAGGTACTGCCTGAAAGGATGGCTTTCCTGGGGGAGCTCCTACCTACCTCTCCTCCACAGTGACCTCTCACCAGCAGGGGCCCTGAAGCACTGGACTGTCTGTTAGAAGGTGGCAGAACCCCCTGGAAAACAAGAAACAAAGCATGTGCACAGATTCACCACAACACCTGTAAAAGACCATCCAGTTCTGTCCTGGAGCCAATGCTCACCTTGCTCACCAGGACTCATCCGGATCACCTCCCCTCCGGTGCCTAGAGCCTCCTGGGCCCAGGGCTCTGCAGCTGAAAACAAAAAGCAAAACAAGAAAATGCTTAACGCAGTGAGTAAACGTGGAGCCAGAAGCCACATCTTTGTGCTGCCATCAGGTGATGACCCACCTTCTTGCTCTGCTCCTCTGGCCTCTGTTCTGTTCAAACTCTGCTTTACACCCTGTCCCTCTGAAATGGTAAAGAAACCTTAACCAAAGTCACCCAGATAGAGGGGGAGAGCTGAAAAAGTCTCCCTTCTCTTTTGGCAAACCACCCAGGGTCACTGCCTGCAGCCAAAGACTGCAGCTGTAATTGCACAGAATATCTGGGGGAAGGAGAGGAAAACTGAAGTGGCACATCTGAAAAGTCAGTGGGTGCCTTCACAGGCATTTAGGGGGCTCCTGGACACTGCTTTCCACCCATACTACCTTCAAAACACCCCTGGCAATTCTTAACCTGGCACCCCAGCCCTCACTCCATCTGTGGGCTGTAACCCCCCACTGACTACTTGCACACCTGGGTGTCTGTAGCATCTTCAACACAGAGCAACTTCACCTGAGGACTGGATAACACTGATGAAAAAACGCCAAACTGCAGTCGAGATGATCAGGAGATCCCAAGAGATGCAAGGCTTCTAAGGGAAAGAAAAAAAGATAACACATTACAAATGTATCTTACCATTATGGAACACAAAAATATTAAATTTAAAAGCCCTGCATTTGAGTGTAATCCTCATCAATGCATATACAGCTCTGCTTCTTTGGACACCAAAGCTCAAGCTTCAATAAAACAGAAATACCTTAATGAAAAGTCCCATTCAAGAAAACAAAGGGAGAACACTTACCTCTTAGAAGCTCGACTGCTGAATGACCTCCCTTGGAAAGGCTGGGGTTAATATACCCCTGGCCGTGCCCACCTCCCTTCCCGTGAGGCCCCGGGGGAAAGGGAGCAGCCCAATCCCAGACGGTATAAAAGCTCTGGGAGTAGCAGCACCTGAGTGGCATCTCCGTCTTAAAATAAGAATGGGGGAAGAGCTTGCCCGAGGAAAGGACTGTTAATGAGAGCAGGTATTGTAGTCAGTATTGGGTTCACAGTTAATATGGGATTAGGACGCGGGCTGGAGCGGCGCGACGAAAACTGAAGAGGGGCGGGCTGGACCGGGGTCGGGGGCCGGAGCGGCTCGGGGTCGGGGGCCGGAGCGGCTCGGGGTCGGGGGCCGGAGC